ATATGGTTGTTCATTATTTTTGTTATTTTCTCGCCTGGTCCATTATACTCCTGCTATGAGTGACACCATCCGGTATTTTTCTTTCTCTTTGTGGCTTATCTCACTCAGCATGATCTTTTCCAGCTCCATCCAAGTTGCTGCAAAAGACATGTGTTTCTCTTTTTTGGTTGCTGAGTAATATTCCTTTGTACACATGTACCACATCTTTTTTATCCAGTCATCTACTTTTGGGCATTTGGGCTGTTTCCATATCTTTCCAATGGTGAATAAAGCAGCAGTAAACATGGAGTGCAGGTCCACCTTGTCCTCTTTTGCTGCTGTAGGAGAGGGTTTCTGGAAGCAGCGATCACGCTGACGGCCCCCCGCACCTACCCCCGTTCACTGAGTGCGACTGTTACTGTGTGCGATGCGCTGAGTGGTGTGAGACATTGCTGACCCATGCTGCCTCATCAGCTCTGCGACTGGTGTTGCAGGAGAGGGAGGAGTGTCAGGAGTTACTCCATTCTCCCTCTGCTGCAAGCAGGCCAGAGGAGGCTGGCTCAGGTGACCCCTCAGTCACCGTTCTGCCATGACTTCGGATTTGTAAGTAGCGTGTCCCAGCCTCGGGGAGCGTCAAACCCACGGATCTGCCTGGAAACGCCTATCCCCAAAGTCGGGTGGGTGCCTCCTGCACCACTAGAGTAACACCTACTCCCGGCTCAGGTTACTCTGCTCTCATGTCCCTCCCAGGACAGCCTGACCCCGCGTTGCAGTCCTCTTATGCACCTTTAAAACATGCACCACGGCCTGCAGTCGTCAGCAGAGCTCTCCCCACCTCGCTGCCGCGGCCAGGTGAGTCACCTGTGGTTCCGCTCCCTCGTTCTCCCCAGGTACACTACGTTGTCCCAGAGAGAGCTCTCATCCAGGGGCAGAGAAGGGCCAATAAAAACCCGAGCGCTGGTCTCTACCAAATTCCGCCAGGGGATAGGAGGCAGGAAAGTCAAAGTGTCGAGGAAGCAAGGCCAGGCTCCCCAGAAACCCCGTTGGGGCGGGAGGGGCTCCACTGGCGGGCACCGACCTTCGCCGCTTGTCAGAGTCTCGTGTTAGCTCTTAGACGTGAACGCCCCCCCGCTCTGCACCAAAAAGGCAGAAAAGCTATTGGTGCTGAGAAAAGCTGAAGTTGGTCCCAGGTACGGGCCCTGGATGGTGCAGACGGATCTGGCCCCTTAGTAATGACGTCTAAGTCGGGGCCATGGTTTGCTTCTCTGCCTTAAGCGCCATGAGGGGCAGCACGCACCCCCACGGCCGCCGAGTAGAGGGCGGGCTCTCAGGGCTGGCACTGCTGCTTTGACAAGGCCGTGGGCTCACGGTAAGGAGGGGCACGGCCGCCCTGGACGGCCCTCACCGGCAGGTCCCGGCCAAGGGGGACAAAGCGGAACACTGGGGCCAGCACAGGGCGGGCAGGCTCAGGGCCGACGCCCAGAACAGCACCTCGCGAGAAGGCAGCGAGCGAGCGTCCGCAGAGGACTCCGGACCTCCCTCTAGCGGGCCTGGCAGCCTGGACAGCGTGGGGCCTCGCGGCAGCCAGGGAGGCAGGAGGGCCGCAGGGCTGAGGCTGCTGCTTCGCTCCTTCTACCACCCCACTGAAGGACCCCCAGAAAAAGGTGGGAAGCGCCATGTCCTCTTTGTCCACCAACTACGTGGCAGAGGGCGCCACTCATTCTCACGGCCGTGGGAATGAGGGAGTAAAAAGCCACGGGACAGCAGGCTCCTGTGCACCCCAACAGGCCAGGGCGTGGTCAACGTTTGGGAGTGGACGCCGCTCTGCAGTCCGGGTCACGTTGCCCGCTGGCCCCCTCCCACACCCGCAAGCCCGGCAGAGGGGGGAGGGAGGAAAACAGCGACCTGGGTCACTGCTGCGTCCACTCCTGAACGTTTCCGCTCCCCGCGCCCTCACCCGTAACCCGGCCTGACTGTCCCCGCCCTCCCCCCACCCCCAGGCAGGGGTCTCACGCACCAGCAGCACCGGCCCCACCCTGCGGGCAGGCAGGGCTGCAGGTGCTGACCCGAGGCCCCATCTCCCTGTGGGTGTCCCTCTGGTAGTGCTGCCCGGGCAGCTCCCACGAGCAATGACTCAGCAATTGTGAACCGCAGCTGACCGGACTTGTCCATACAGTTACTCATAAACAAGTATGAGGAACGCCCCAATACCCCAAAACCCACTCACAAGGTGTGTATGCACGTACCAGGGGCAAGTTCCGCTCCCCTCTCCACTGGCTTCAACCACTCAGGGTGAGGGGCGCGTTTTCAACGTGCGGGGGAAGGACCTTCAGGCCCCCGAGTCTAAAGGCTGTGGCTTCCTCGGGGGTGGAGACAGGAATGGGGGGCCAGGGAGCTGGCTCTCAGCCTGAGCACGGCGGTGCACCCCACTGCTGGCGCTACTTCTGGGGTGTCTGGCGCACGTGCGCAGCGCCGCGTCACCGAGACTGCTATTTAGAGCATTCCGCCCGTCACTGGCCGGCCGGCGCTCTCCCTCCCCTGGAGCCCACATTCCTTGATTAAGCCAGGAGCTATGCAAAGGCGTGGGGCAAGAGAAGGGCGAGCGTGGCGCCCCCCACAGGCTGCCAGCAGCAGCCGGGGCAGGCGTGGGGGCCCCGTCACCCCACCCCACGCCGGCTGAAAAGATGCTTCTTTGCTCCCCACTGCACAACTTTTTGAAGACACACAGGTAAAGATCCACACAGTAAAGCCCCTTCATTACCAGCCACCCCTTGAACATCTTGATCTCACCCCACCCGGCATTCTTTCCCCACTGTGGATTACACAAAGGTTCAAACAGAAAACCCCAAAGGCCACGAAGATCCCAGAGGCCGGAGGGCCCAGCGGAAGTCGGAGGGGCCAGCAGGATGAGGTCTAGGGGAGGGGAGGAGCCGGCCACACAACAAGGAAACCAGGTTTTATTCAACTGGAAAACAAAACAGTCGTGTCCAGAGGCAGGAGCGGCTGGGGGCAGGCGGGCCCGTCACAGGCGAGGCCGGTCACCAGCGGGGCCGGCTGCTGGCCGGCTGCTGGCCGGGGCTCCCGCCCCGGCCTCGCTCGCGTCCCGGCGCTGCGCTGTCCTTGCACCTTCAGCCCGGACAGTCTCGAGGGGTCCGCAGGCAGGACGGCCGGGCCTCCAGGCCCGCTCCGCAGGCGGCGTCCGGCGCTGGGCGGTCCCTCTACTTGCGCTCACCGAGAAGCCGTGGGCCCGTGGTCACAGCCCCAGATCTCAAAGAAAAATGTCAAACCTTCGCAACTAGTTGTTTTATTAAATGATATTAATACACATTTCAAAAGGATTTCATTTTTGTCGCCTCTAACGCACGTACTTGCTTTCCACACCGAACACGTGAGAATATCAACCCAACATAGCTAGTTTTACTCTTAACACCCACCCACTCCAAATAAAGAGGGGGACAGAAGGGAAAAAGGGGGGAAAGCAGTAGTTTACAGCGGCTTCCAAACGGTGACAGCTGGAGCTTAGTTCTGCGAGAACCACTGGCTTGGGCCGACCGCGGGGCCGCTCCCACCCCGCCGGCCGAGTCTGCGGCGACAGAAGCGGAGCCAAACCCTGTTCCCGACCACCGAGCCCTCCCTGAAATCAAACCCAATTCTACTTATTCTCCGCTCCGAAGGGCCGGGGAGCAGGGAGTGCTCTGAGCTCGGAGGGCTGGAAGGCCCGCTCGGGCCTGCCGGGCACCGCCGTGATTTGCAGAGGCCACCGACCTCGGCTACAGCTTCGGTTTTTATTTGCACACGAATCATGTCCTCGCCAAGACACACTATGTTATGCTTTCTTTAAAAAATATCTTGTTTATTATTATTATTATTTTACTCAGGTTGAAATACAAAAGTCAGGGCACGGGCGCGGAGCTTTGAAATCACAGACACAGAGAATAAAGCCCTCTGTTTCACGTTATGAATACCAGAATTGTCTTTTCCCCATTACATCACATATATACATTGTTGTCTTCGTTCACGGCTGTGGACAGATTTTCTTTAGTCAACAGCTGACGGTCACCGGCAAATCCCCACTTCCACTCCAAAACAGAGCACTGAGGATTTTGTGGCTTCAGAGAAGCGAACACTGCACCCCAGCCCCCAGCACCTGGAAGCCCCCTTCTGGACAGTGCACGGTACAGTCCTCCGCGCCTCGGCCCCTGCGCCTGACGGCGACACTTGCCCCACACGCAGGAAGCCGCTTCCGACATCCCCACGTTCCTGATAAAATCAAACGGTCAGAGAGCCTCGTAAGTAAACACTACTTTTAGCTTAACAAGAGCAGCAGAAGAATTCACATTCTTTTATTCTAGAGTGAAAAACATCCCACCTACTTTCTGGGAAAAAAACACTATTTCAGTGGTCGGACGGCGCTCTCCCCCTTCACCCCATTCTCTTACGCGTTTCCCTAAACAAATGTCTCAGGACTCAAGGTAACTGTAGTTCCTGTTCCGCTACGCGGCCCATCCCCTCCCGCTCGAGGTCACGGGACGTGCTCGTGGGGGGACAGACCCGCGGGGCCGAAGCGCGGGACCAGAAGCCATCAGGAAGCCCACCTGCCGCGCTCCCCACGGAACACAGGCGCCAAGCAAGGAACTCGGGCCAGTTTCGGGAGAGCGCCCCAGTGCGGCGCACCCCGGCCTCGGGGGCTCCTCACGTGCGCAGCGCGTGGGCCGGGACGGAGCCCCTCCGCCCTGCATGGCCACGCCGACACTTCACCGGGAGGACAAAGCCAGCTCCGTCCACCAGCGAGCGCCACGCTGACGGGAGGAAATGGGCAGCGTGCAGCTTCCTGACCAGACCCACACGGCCTGGCCCTGGCTGGAGCGCCAGCGCCGCTGCGGGCCACTGACTGGCAGGCCAGGAGAGCAAGCCCGCAGCCGGGCCCGGCCCGGCACCAGCTGGACACACACTGGGGGTCTTTCAGTGCAGGGCGGGGGAGCACTTCCCGTGGCAGAGAAGCGACTTCCTGCTGGGAGTGGGTGAGGCCAGCTGCGCGGGCGCGGCCGGGGGTCCTTCTGTTTGCAAAACACCCACGTCACTAACACACACCTAACGCCACAGAACAGAAAGATGCTGCTGAGCCTCCTTCCAACACCAGCAACAGGCGCCAAGTACCAGCACGGGAGGCCCCGTGAAGTGTCTACTTCCTACGCTGAAAACACAGGGCGGACACGACAGCTGCACTCTCGTATCACCTGTCGGCTCTAGTGACTTCTGGTCCAAGCGGAAGTGAAAATGGAGGGGGAGAGAGAATGACGGGAAAGCTGAAGAGCCTGAGAGACCCGAGCAGCCCCTCAGCCATGCCGCCCCCCGCCACGGAGGACAGGCAGCACGGCACACCGGGAAGGCTCCTCGCTGGGGCTCCTTTGCAGCGGTTCCCCTAAACCTTGAAATTATAGCCAGTCCCCTCTCTTGATTCTAAGGACAGAGAGGCAATTTTTTAGTAGAAGAAAATGACAGCAGGGGCTTCTCGGCGCTACCTGACAGCACCTTCCAAGGGCCGACTTAAAGACAGGAAAGAAAGGACCGAAGTCCAGGCCCACACTCCCCTGCAGAGGGAGCCGAGGCACGGCGCTCGCCAGGCCAAACCCCTCGCCACACCGGCCGGCCAGCGCGCAAGGCACAGGGCCCAAGGCCCACGAGGGGCCCCAGCCGCCCCCAGCCGCCTCGGCTGGAGAGGGAAGGGGGCAGGAACCCTTCCTGGGCTACTACAGCCAAGCCCCAAATAACACCCCAACATTTCACGATGTTCTCTGCACTGATGGAAGTTTTATTTCAAATGTTAATAATCCTCTTCAATAGATGGGGTAAAACGAGACTTGTCCTCCTCCCGGCCCCTCAAGCCCCCGGCCTGAGGAAGCGGCTCGGGTTAGGTTTCTTTGCCGTGTCCTCCCCCCCCCCACCTTTAAAAATACAAACAACTGGGGTTAAGTGCAGCGGGCAGGAGGGAGGACCGGATGGAACAGTGAGACGTGAGCGAGTATGACCTAGTGGGAAGGGAGGCCCTTTGTCATAATAAAAAACAGTAAGTCAAAGGAGGGAAAACAAACGTGGATAATCCAAACTCCTACTTCCACAGCTCTCTAGACTGTCCGGCGCCTTTCCCTTGGCTTCCATCAGTACCTGGGAGGGAAGAATGGGCGTTTTGGTGCAAAAAATGGAGGGCCCCTAGCAAAGGGTGGCCTGGGTCTCTTTAGACTGTGGAACGGATCTCTGCTGAGGAAAGGTTCCCTCGGCCGGAAGTCCGGCCGGGGGTTGCGCAGAATCACGCCACTCCGGCTGATGGTGTCTCTGTGTGAGGGACCCAGGGGGGCGCCGCTGCCGCTGTTGCTGACTCCCCCACCTGCGCCTCCGTGGGCCGGGCCCAGGTGCTCCAGAGAATGGGAGGGCAGGCTCAGGCTCTCGCGCACACGGCCAAGGCCAGGGCCGTTGAGGTCCCGTTGGGTGGGGCCCACGTGGTCCCTGGGTCCTGGGAGCACCCCAAAATGCTCCGCCAGGGTCCCTTGAAGGAGGGAGCTATGGTCCTTGGGGAACATCGCCACCGCCCCCGCCACTCCGTGCTCGGCCAGCGACGGGGCCGAGAAGGGGACCACCCCGGCGTGGTCGACGGGGGGCTGCGGGGGGGGCGGAGTAGAAAAGGGGACACCACTCCCACCGCTGCTGCTGCTATGCTCCCCAGGGGGCGGGGGCGGGGTGGGGAAAGGAACCCCACTGTGCTCTCCGGGGGGCGGGGGCGGGGCGTGGGCCAGGGCCGCCGCCTCCTTCGTGAAGGGGCTGGAGAGGTCCACGGAAGGCAGGCGGGCGGGCGCGTCCCGGGGGAAGACGCCGCCGTGCTCCTGAGGAGGCGCGGGCGGGGCCGGCGCCGGCCCCACGGGCTCTCTCTGGAAGGGCGTCCCGTGTTCCAGGGGGGCTGGGGGGAGACGATGCTCAAACGTCGAGTTGAAACTGTTGGAACGGAAGCTGCCGACACTCTCCTGAAACTGGGGTGCCCGGTCCTTGTACGACGACGCTTTGAAGCTCCCGAGGCCTCCGCTGCTCCCACCCCCGAGGGGCGCCAGCTCAGAGGCGCTCGAGGGGCCGTTGTCAAAAGAGGCGCCCGAGGAGCTCAGGTCGAACCAGCCCCCCCGCGAGGCCTCGCGCCCGTGGCCTCGGCCCCCCTTCCCGGGCACGCGGACGGACTCCACGGTCTGTATGGGCTCCCCCGACATCCTCCTGCTGGGCGCGTGGCGGTAGCCCAGCGTCTCGATGGGGGCCCCCTTCTCCTCCGTGCTGGCGGGCACGTCCGGGCAGGCGGAGACGCGCGTCTCGATGCGGAAGTGCTCCTCCTGCTGCTGCTCCGGGGCGGGCAGGCCCGCGCCCTCGCCCGGGGCGGCCTTGCCAGGGGCCTGGCCAAAATGCTTGTCCTCCGAGGGCTTGCGGGAGGCGTTTTTAAGCATGTTCTTAAACTCAATCGTCGACGTGGCGGAAATGGCGGAGGCCAGGGCCTTCTCCATGCCTGAGGCGGGTGGGCGGCCCGAGGCAGCGGCCAGGGGGTTCTGCGGAGAGAAAAGGGAGCGGTGTGGGCCGGGGTGAGGAGAGTCTGGGTACTGCTTCTGCGGCAGACCGGGGTGCCCGGTGGCAGGCTGAGGCAAGCTATTATGGTTGGAGTCGGGGGTGAAAAACGAATCATTCTTACTCGGTGAGGGTGACCGGTCAGACCCAGGCTCAGTCCCCCTTACGCTGAAGGCACCGAAGAGCCCAGGGGACGACGGGAGGCGGTCGCAGCTGTCGCCGGCGTCCAGGAGGGCCCTCACGGACGGGGGGAAGGCGGCCTTGGCCCCGAAGCCCTGGGCCCTGTGGCTGTACCCGGACGGGGCCGGCGGGTACTCGGGGCCGTCGGAGAGCTTGCTCGCCTTCAGGATGGAGCGGGCCGGCCTCTTGTCCAGATTCATCACGGCAGAGGGTGGGGGCCCCGAGTACTCGAAGTCTCGGTAGTCCTCGTCTTCCTGGAAGGAAGTGTCCGGGTAGAACTTCTCCTGCGAGGCGTCCATCAGGGGCGACGGCCTCTCCAGGCCCTCGGAGGGCTGCTTGTAGGGGGACTCGCCGCCCAGGCCGAAGGGCCGGTAGGCCGCCGGGGCTCCGGCGCGCTCGCGGGGGTAGCCCTCCTCCCTGCCGGGGGGCGGCGAGCGCGTGCTGCTGGGGGTGGAGGAGCCGGGGCTGATGATCTTGGACAGCAAGGACACGGTGTCGACGCCGCTGGACGCGGGCTTATCCATCATCTCGTCCTGGGTGGGGGTCCCGCTCCGCTCGTCCCGCACCGGGGTCCCGCCGATGTTGTCCACGGAGGTGCTCGCGGGGCCACGCGGGAATTCCGAGGAGTGGCTCTCCGCCGCGGCGCCGGAGCCCAGGCTGCTCAGGATCGGGATGTTCAGGTTCAGGCCGCTGAAACCGGGATTACCTTTCAGGAAGTTGTGGATCTTCATTTCCAGGCTGGGGGAGGTGGACTCGGACTCCAGCTTTGGCTTGGAGATGTCGGGAGGTTGGCACATGGCGACTTCGGCGGGGGGCGCGGCAGAGCTGGCACTGTGGGGGCCCGTAAACCCCAGCGAGTTGGAGGGCAGCTTGAAAGTCGTGCTCGGGAGCCCCGGGCCTGGCCCCACGGAGGCCTTGCTGGCGGGAGCCGAGGAGACTTCAGAAGCCACCGAGTTCGGAGAGTAGCCGAAGCTCTTGGGCAGAAAGGCGGGGGTGGCGGGGGGCAGATTTCTCCCTTTCACGCTGGAGACGGTGGTGCTGGCGGGGGACGCTGCGGCGCTCTGGGGCGCAGCCTCGCTGGCTGGAGCGGGGTTCCCCGTCACACTCTGAAGCAAAGACGACAGGCCTGCAGGGCGGAGATCAGACGGGTTAGCGAGAGCAACACCCCCCACCACCCGGACGGTGGTAGCCGGGCAGTTTCAGCCACACCAGGGGGAGCCAGACAGAGATGAAGTGGCAAGGCCGAAGGGACGCGGCACGGGCAGCAGGGGCGAACCCGCACCCAGCTCGGGGCCGGGGACCGCACGAGGAAGCCCGCGGGGCACGACCCGACATGCGATGACAGGACAGGGAGGGCGAGGAGTTCGCCAGCCACTCCTGGTTCCAGCAAGACAGCGCAGGAAGAGGAAGGAGGCACAATTTTTCTTAGAACAACACCGAAGCCGGTGTTTCTCCACGTGGAACTGCCTGGCACACGCGGCAGGTGCCCGGCCCGCCCGGCCTTCTGCACCTTGCGAGCTAATGCGCCCTGCGCTGCTACAGCCCAGAGGCGGAGACTTATCCACACGGGGTGCGAGCCGCCGGCGGGAGCGGAACCCCGAGCCGCCGCGTGTGGCCGAGCGCAGCGGCACACACCAGCCACGGGAGCACTGGCCCTTTCGGAAAAACACATTTCGGCAACTGGGCTCCTGCCAGCTTTCCAGCGTAAAGTGAAAGCTCACGGTGACACCGTGCCCAGGTGACCTGCCCAGAAACAGAATCTTCTCTGAGGAAAAGAAAGGCGCCGAGCTGAATACACACACGGCCTCCTGGTCGCAGCGGGCTGCGGCTCTCGGCCGCGAGCCCATCCCCGGCCGGAGCGACCTCGGGGCGCGGCTGACCCCTCCGGGCCCACCTGCGGCTCCCCTCAGCAGTGCACTTCGCTGGATCTGCCTGTTCTGCTCCCCACTCTGTCTCTGGTGGAGCCTGTCACCTCCCACACCTCTGGCCTGTACCCCAGTTCTTGTGTGCATAAATAAATAAATTTTAAAAAACAGAAAAACACTGGACAAAGAGGTAACGGAGGTCCTATAAATCCCATCGTATTTGGAAAAATGATTCCATCTCAATTCAGATGAAATCAAATGTAAAGCTCACCAGAATTTATAGCTTGTAGGCATACAGTACAACTTCCTTCATAGTGGTATGTGAAAGAAAGCAATTCCTAACACTTCATGAATGTTTCTTCAAAATTTCAGCGTTAATCTAGAACTTCTAAAAGATTTAGGGGATAAAGAATTTCAAAGCCCTTCCATTCTTACGATATTTTTATACCATCTACATCTAAATAATGGTGTGCGGTTTTACTGATATCCTTATAATTGACACGGTATTTATTTCTGCAATTAGTCTGGAAACAAGCATGTCTCATTTCTAAAAAAGCCTCGTTTAAAACCTAGCAGTCAGTGTTCTGCCAAATCAGAAGTCCTCAAGCACTAAAATGCGATGCATAATAACGCCATTTGATTTTAAAAAGATACTTCAGCATACCTCCCAGGGAGACTGTGGCGGAAACTATTCAGACCATTTTGTTAGGAAAGACGCTACCCGGATTGCTGTGGTCTTTCACGAGCGAACATTACTTTCGTAAGCTTCCTAAGCCACAATCTGGCCTCTGCCCCTGAGTTGGCTCTTTTCTGCTGAAAACTGTCACGGGGTGTCGGCGACAGAGCAAAGCTCTGCCACATTTCCTTCGGTCTCTGAGGAACACACCTATTTAAGGTGCTGGACACAGTTCTTTCCGAAGCCAGGAGAATTCCTGAGAGAACTGTCTGTAAGGAAATGAAAGGTGACACACTGTCCTGCCTCTCCAGAGGGGGCTTTCTGGAGTCTGTGCCTCGTGGTCAGAACACCCCCAGCTCTGTTCAAATCCTCCCCGACGAGCATCTTTAGTGACACTGTTGCAACGACTGGCTGAAGTGAGAAACTTCTTTCCCTCACACCAGCCGCTCTTGCCACAGACGCGGGGCTTCCCGCCTCAGCACTGCTGCCCCGTGGGGCTGGGCACTACCCTGGGGCTGTCCGCCCACAGCATGTCGGCAGCAGCCTGGCCTCGGCCCAGAGACGCCGCAGCGCCGGGAGGGTCCTGGTGAGAAGTGCTGCTGCGGAGTGGGCCGCTGGCCGGAGGCGCCGTTCCGCGGTTCGTTCCTCACAATTACATGGGGTTGCTTGAGCTGGGCTGTGTTAGTGTCTGGGGTCTGGGGACACACTGCAGGTGAGCTTTGTGAAAAACAAGTCGGAAGCAGACAAATCTAGCAAAATAGGTAATTAGCAAAGCTGCAGAGCTTACAGATCGTGAAAACAAAGGAAATTACTATATAAGCTATTAAATAAACACCTACAAACAGCAGCATCTAGAAAATACCAGACAGAAGCGCTAATCCTGTCTCGTTGGACCTTCAGCAGCCCACTGGCCGTTCTGCTGTCTTTCATTTACTGACGGTGAAATACACGAGCCCCTTCGCACACACTCAGAGCCGCAGCGCGGCCCCCGGGTCACGGCGAGGTGAGCAGCAGCGGGCCCGGCCAGAAGCCTGGCCTCGAGCCCCGGCCCAGCACGAGCACAGACGTGCGACCCGAGCGGGCCCCATCACGCAGTGGGCCTTGACTTCCTCAGTGAAAGCAGGGCTGGCCTGGGTGACAGTGAACGCTCTCCCTCAGCGCTGACATGGATTATTTTATAAGCCCAGCTTGCAGGTGACAGACTAATACACTCCCTGCGCTGCACGCCTGTCGACGTGGCCGCCTCAGCCTGGCTGCGGCCGGCCTCAGGGACGCTCAGCGCAGCCCGGCCCTGTGGCTCACCTTGCAGTGCTGGCGCCGAAGGCGTCTGGGTCTTGGAGAGGGCGGACAGGATGCTCTCCGGGGTGATCTCCACCTTCGAGAGGATGTTCGCCAGGGGGTTGTGGGGTGTCGTGGTTGGAGGCGCGGGTGCCTTCAGGCTGGCGGTGAGGTTGCTGGGGCTGCTGGGCGTGCCTGGAGACGGTCTCGATGCAGGACTGACCCCTGGTGGCAGAAAGATTAACTCAGGAGAACGTGGGTCCTCACACCCGCCGCCCACTCAGACAAGTTGGACGGGATTTTCCCGTTATGGCATGTACAGAGAATGAACCTTAATGTTAGGTTAGGATCTGCTCTGCCTATTGCGAACACCCCCAATAAACAAGTGTTAGGTTTTTTGCTAAGTATGCACTGATGCTAAGAGCCCAAGGGACTTCTCCACCCACCCCCACTCCCCGAAGGGCTCGTGATCGCGCCGCCATAGGCACAGCCACTGTGTCACTAATTCTGGGATTAAGTAAGGAAGATGCTTCCGAAAATGTCTTTAAAGCACAAGTATGGGCCCTCCCTGTGGTGCAACGGGTTAAAGCGAGCACTATGAAGCTATGGGCAGCCGCAGCAGCCCGAGTTCGATCCCCGGCCAGGGGGGGACCCCCAGGCGCAGCAGGCCTCTCCTGTCTCCCCGCGGCGCCCTCAGCAGTGTGCCTCCGTGGACCCGCCGGTTCTGCTCCCCACTCTGTCTCTGGGGAGTCCCCCTCCCCCTCGTACCTTGTAAATAAATAAAAAAATATATAGGAAAAAGAAAACGAGTAAGCAAAGTAGAGCCAAACAACTTCTCAGCAGGGGCCCGGTGAAGGCCAAGCCGACGGCGGGCCAGGAGGCGGGCAGGGCGCCCACACGCACACGGGTGGGTTCTGGGTCTCAGTTACCATCAGGAGCCAGTAATGCTTGAGCGGTGAGGCTGAGTTTGGGGAGCATTTTTATCGCTGAGAAACATCTAGGCACGCAGGGATAAATGAACTAACTGGGATTTGCTTCGGAATAGTCAGGCTTGATTTGGGCCCGTGCTTGACGCCGCCGAGACACGCAGGGGCTGCACTTGTGCGCCGCCGCCAGGATGCGGCGAAGAACTGGGGTGCAGGCCAGAGGCGCAGGGCGTGAGAGGACTCCCCAGAGGCAGAGCGGGGAGACAGGCGGGGTCTGCTGCGTCCGGGGTCCCTCCCTGGCCGGGGACCAACTGCGGCGGCTGGAGAGCTTGTCAGTGCTGAGACACCCCTGCGCCCCAGGGAGGCCCTGTAATTTGTGCTAAGAAACCTCAGCAACCCTTGCTGGAAGGAGTGTGCATAGAAGTTCAGCAGCAAGGTTGTCGGTTACAGCATTCTTCACCATAGTGAGCAATGGAAAATATTCTGGATGCTTAATAAAGGTTCTGGTAAGTCCCCAGATGCTGTGAAACTATTAAAAATGTCAACAAATATTAAGTGACTTGGAAAAATATTCCCACTCCTTGCAATATGCCTAACTTACTGAAAGAAGCATTACCACAAGCACGCCTCCCCCAAACATCCCTGTACACAGTGGTGTCCTGTGGGCAGCAGGTAACAGACGCCCACTCTCTCGGTCTGTGTGATCATTTTTCAGAGCTGACCCTGCACCGACTGCGTTTCATTTCAGCTCTTCCCACCCCCTTCCACCCCATCTCCATGTTTACTTTAATTAAAAAATTACTCTTCGTTAGAAAGAGAAAATGAACAAAAATCTAGACCGACTGTTCCACTGGGAAACGGCAACTGCGTCTCCAGCGGCTCCTGGTTCACGCACCGGTGTTCTTCATGACCGATGTCAGGCTGCTGAGGATGGAGCTGATCTTCGCCAGATCCACGTTAGCCAGGCTGGGCAGTGCCAAGGCTGGAGAAGGCGTCAGCGGGGGTGGGTTCGCAGGCTTGGGGGGAGCTGGGGTTGCCGTCAAGGCCACAGGCCCCGGGGCGCAGGGAGAGGCCTTCAGGACACTTTCTGTGGGCTTTGCAGGGACAGACGTGGAGACAGCCGACTTCTCCACAGGCTTCTCCTTCCTGTCTTCTACTGTTGGGACAAAAGAGACGCTTTCCACCCGGCCGGCGGCTGCCGGGGCCCCGCGGCCCCGCGCCCAACTGCCGGCAAAAGCAGCGTGCCCCGGACCTCGCAGCCACGCTCCTCGGCCCCGAGAGCCCCCCTCTGCCTCCAAAGCCAGCCTCACCCGAATGTGCCACATTCTTCTTATTTTTTAATGATTTCCTCACATCTTCTTAGTGTACGCACACTAAATGCAACAGCTCTGGAGCCATGCTATTATTTGGAAGTAACGTGTTCGCTCCGTGATGGCGTTCATGCCACAGGTTAGAAATCAGGCAGCGGACCGCTCTTCCTCCAAGTGTCGCTGTTTACCTTCTTGGCCCTCAACCCGAGCTTTCTAGGGACAGGAACCCGTGCACACCTTGGTGTGCTTTCCTTTGTCTTTCTGAACCGGCCTGCAGGGTGGGGTGGGAGGTGCTAGCAGGCACCAGTATGAAACGCACTGCTGAGCCTGCTGCTCACAGTGTACTTCCTTTGACACTCCAAGGGCCACACGGCGCTGTAACTCGCAGGACTCCTCGTAAGATCACCACAAAAGCTGGATGCCAGCGAAGTAACTCGCCAATCCAGCTAAATGTTCGAAGTGGGCCCCACAAGCAACGGGTCTGGAAACGTGACGATCAAGACAGAACTGGGCACCCCGACCAGGCACCGCCCTCTAAGGCTGTGCAGTGGAGGGAAACGGCGCTCGAGCCACCAATGTGAGCTGCCGTGTTGCAGCAGTCACGGGACGAAAAGAAAGAGGTGACCTGTTTTTAATACTGTATTTTCTTAATCTCAATATATCCCACACATCATTTCAGTGAGCTGTAACTATGAAAACAGAGCTATTTCCACTCTTGGCTGCACCAGGTTTCCAGAACCCCCACCGCGCCCCGGAACTAACTGCACAGCTTGGAAGGGACCTGAGGGGGGGCGGCACCCAGGCACGCGTGGCCACATACCGATGATCTTGGAGCCGTCGTCCTCCACGTCCGAGAGCTCCATGTCCTCCACGTCGCGGTTGTCCGTGGCAGGCTCCGGCGTGGCCGACTTCTCACTCCCCATGGCTGGGGACTGGGATTCCTCACCTCCCATCCCCTGAAAAGGAGACTCCGAGCCAGTTGGGGAGGGGGCATCCATGCTTGGGGAAGGGACTGGGGACTCTTCAGGGTCCGGAAGGGTTGACTTTAGTTGATCCAGTTTCTTCTTTAAATTGTTCACTCGGTTAGCAAAGGTTTTGTATGCCTAGGAGAAAAAACTGAGTTTATTCCTTTGAGCAACGCACCAAGAAGTTGCTATTTTGACTGTGATGAGAGCTCATTACTGGGCACGCGACAGGCAGAGACAGGACTACCTATCAAGCTGGAGTAGTTTCCACTTTTCGGTATTCATCGTCCACAAAGCTGCCTGCGTCGTGCAGCGATAGGTCACCTACAGCTCATGACCTGCTCCTGTCTCTCCTCTGACCAACTGGTATTTACTGGTGCCTACCTGGACTGGCCACTCTCCCAGGTATTAAAGATACAACAGTGACAAGGAAGTCAGACACCAATCAAATTCAAGGCCCTCCCTGGTGGCGCAGCGGGTTAAAGCACAGCACCAAGAAGCTTAAGCCATTTTCCCCATGGGTTCGATCCCCGCCTGCCCCGGAGGTGACCACATGGCGCGGCAGACCTCTCCTGCCCCGCCCGCTGCTCCCCTCAGCAGTGTACTTTGCCCATCTGCCTATTCTGCCCCCCACTGTCTGTGAAGCCTCTTACCCCTTGAGCCTCTGGCCTGTACCCCAGTTCTGTGTGCATAAATAAATAAATCTTTAAGAAAAACAAAAACCCCAACAAAGGCCATGTCTTAGGAATAAAGACCACATCCCAGGACTTGGGCATTTCAAACACCCTCCCCAGCTAAACCCATGCTTCCCCGTCATTGTGATGTGGCAATTTAACTGAGAGAAGAAGTTTGAGCTGTGTGCATCCCCCCCCCCCACTATACAGCTGACCCTGTGCATTTGAAATTAATGTATTTTCTCTTTCTTTTCTCTAGCTTACTTCACTGTAAGAATAAAGTACATGATACATAAATAGCACAAAATATGTGTTAATGGGCTGTATTTCTGGTGAGGCTTCTGACCAAGCACGGAAGCTAAGTTGCGGGAGTGGGGTGCTGTGTCCTAACACCACCTGTCCAAGGCTCAGTATCTAGGATTAAAGTACACCAACAAATTGTGGAAAAACAGTCTCTGGGAAAGAGTACACCCAGAGATGAACTAGACACTGGAGGGAAGATATGAAGGCTTTCACATAGCAAATATAAACGTGTAAAAGAATCTTTAGGAAAAGATGACAAAATGAGTGAATGGACAGGAAACCTCCAGGGAGCAAAGGAATCATAAAGAACCAAATGAAGATTCTAGAACCAGAAAAGGCAAGCACCTCAGCGTTTTGTTTCCTCACGGGCGGGCTCCGCAGAGGGGCCTGACCGAGAGCCGGCAGTGCAGGCTCTCCTCCGCTGCGGGGCTGGGCGGCGTGAGCGGCCGGGCAGGCGGGCTGACCAGACCTCGGAGTCCCTCCCCGAGCGCCTTCGCAAACAGACGCCTGACTGTGCGGTGTCGTGAGCAAGTGGCCGGAGATGCTGGTCACCACTTACAAATCACAGCGGATCTTCGGGTCAGAACTGCGAGCACCGCCCGCCGTGACCTGCCCCGTGACTTCTCCGCGCACGGTGAAGCAAAGGCACAGAGCTCTCGGGGAGGCTCGCACGCGGGGCCAGACGCTGCACTTTCAGAAGACGGGAAGACAGAGTGAGCGTGAGGTGCCAGGGCGAGCCAGGGAAACAGCCCACGAGAGCCGCTCCCGGGGAGGGGCTGACGCCTCAGAGTCCCCGAGAAAAGCCCAGGAAAGACGAGACGCAGCGGCAGCGTGAGCAGCGCAGCCGGAATCAGGACAGCTCCGCGTGGACAGCGAGTGCCACGCGTCCTGGCACCTTCATCCTGGGCACGAGGCAGGAGATGTGCAACTTCTCTGAACGTGACACACCCTGGGCTTCTCCCACCCCCAATGGCACCCTACAGAGACTTCGCGAGTAGAGAGCCTCGCTCTTAATGTGGGAAAAGAGGTATTATCTGATTTTTAAAAAAATATTTATGTATTTATGCATACAGAATTGGGGTACAGACCAGATGTGAGGGGTGAGAGATTCCGCAGAGACAGTGGGGAGAACAGGTGGATCCACTATCCACCGAAGCCCACTGATAAGGAGCAGGGCGGGGAAGGGCAGGGGGGGTGTGCTGCGGCGGGGGGCCCCACCCCGCCAGGGTCACACTCGTGCTACGGCGGCGGCGACAGCTCCTGGAGCTGCGCCTTAACCCTGCACCACCAGGGAGGCGCTCTGAGCTTTGCGGTGAGTCAGAAGCATGAAAGGCCAAGGTAATGGGGAGGGGGGTGGTTTTAGAGGGAATAAGACCAGTTAGGAAAGAGGCTCCCTTACGAGACACGGAGGTCTCCTCAGAGATGCGAGATCAGAAAAGGCCGCCAGAGAAACGAGAAAGGAGAACGCGTCAGCTGTGAGCCACGAGGTACATGCAGGCGTGTCCTCGGCCGCCAGCAGAGCGACGAGGGCGACGAGGGCGCTCCCGGGCTGCAGAGCGCCCACTTCCCAACGGCCTGCCCGAACGGCCAGCAAAACCCCACGCCGACGCCACGGAGCAAGTCCCAAAAAGATCCCAGGTGCGAACCCCCCCGCCCCCCACAAAGGGTCCTGCAGATGCGCCAGGGCCCGGTGCTGAGGCGCAGTAGAGGCTCGCACGTGCGGAATACGGGCGTTTGGTGCAAGACTCAGATCATCACCCGCCCTTTTGAAATTGAGGATGTTCTCCAGCAAAACAGGAGAGACAAGCATGAAGAGGAAACACGCAACCTGGAAAAGGGGGCTCAGACTGGAATATAGTGAGCAGCAGTCCTGGGGGAGACCTGAGGCCTCAAAGTGGAGAGAATGGAAGTTCAGGGCAGGCGCTCTGGGGACACCGTGGGGGCGGCAGGGGAGGAGAGACGCTGAGAAGGCACACAATGTGACAAAGTCTCTAGTGCTCAGAGCTGCTGTGAGCTCTGACTCTGGGTACTCAGTCTTCACCATAAGCAAGGAAGACACCGGGGCGGCGGCCCGGGATGTGAAAAGCACCCGCTTTGATCATGTGAATGCGCAGGTCGCCGACCTGGGAACTCATGGGGCAGACACAAGGCGAGGCGTGGCCAGGACGGTCACTGCTCATCTTGCAAAACAGGGAGTCGGCAGTCCGTGGTCACAAACAGCAGCCATGGTGCTTCAATTTTCAAAGGTGGTGATAGATTTAAAGGTATCCGATGGCCTGAGCAGGGCAGTCGGCGAGTCTCAGCGCACTCCTCCCTCGTCATGCCCAGCAGCCACGGCTCTCTTACACAGGACAGGACAGGAAAGAGCGCAGGAAACATGGAGGCAAATGACAGAACACGAGCTGGCTGGGTAAAGGGAGCTGCTCGAGGAAGTGAGACCAGCAAGGTCAGAACCACGCGCCGCACGACCGTGTCTAGAGATTAAGGGGAAAAGTATGAAATGGTTTCCTTCAGAAACTGTCTTTTAGAACATTTTTTGGGGACAACTGTCCAACATCAAACCCCCGTACAGTAGATTTAGGGACAAAGAGGGCCCACCGTTGAGGGCTTCTATATGAATCTTCTGGTTAAGTGTGTGTGCAGGCAGATGTCTATTCTGCCCCATTTTTATATCTGGAAACAGTAACTCAGCACCTGTCTCTGAAATGCCCAGACACAGGCCTTAGACATGGGAGGTGGTCAGGTCTGCATGAGCGTTAGCCTGAGGGAGACCCAGGTCTTGATTTAAACTCCACTTCTTACTGGTTTATAGTTGGTGCCAGGTTACCAAGTCTCTTCAAAAGCAACTTTATGTGGAGTTGGGGGTGGCTATGCTTGTCCTCAGAGTTAAACAACACACAGAGTCCACTGAAGAGCTTCAGTTATTACTTACATTAGCCACCACTTTCACTTCTTTGTACTGTGCTTCATAGAAAATTCCAGCATTTTCTAGTGCTTCTGTTAGTGAAGGCCCATTTTTCACTTGTTTGTCTAATCCATTCACAAACTCCTCCAGCTTAGAGCTTGCCTCTTCAAATTCTTTGGAGAACTTCTTCCCACCTGTCTTATCTAAAACAACAGAGAAACAGGAGCTCGAAATGAAAAGGTAAAAACTTAATCTTCTGAAGAAACTGCTCAGGGTGACCTGGGACCCTCCTGTTGCTGCTGCTTTAGGCGGGCGTAAGAGTATAGTTTCACCTGAGAAGCGTCTCCAAACCGCAGAACCGGTGTGAAAACGGCCCACGTGCAGCCTCGAGTGAAGGCAGAGCACAGAGGCGCGTTAGGATAAGGTGTGAACCAAGGGGCCGGCGGGCTGCTGTCTGCACGAAGCAGCTGTCACGCCCCCGCCACCGAGCAGCAGCATGAGCTCACTGCTGCCCACGTGGTCATCAACGGCTTCACCGCAGAAAAGCAGTGAGATCCATCTCTTAAGATGAGGAAAGTATAATGACCTCTGTGTAAATGGCTCTAAGATTCCTTCCTTCGTATCTGAAGAAGATAGCTGCTAATTCGGCACCAGCAGAACGTAACCATGATTTTTAAAGACGACATTACTTCTCCCGAAGCGCACTCTTCCCCCTGCCTAGTGGAACCCGGCATTAGCAGTGGGTACAAATGATGTCTCTGCCTCTAGTCAGCTGTGCTTTTAATGTTTCTGAATTATTGTGAGGCTTCAATAACACCCTAAATTTAAAAGCCCAGTGAAAGAACAAAATGGTGTGAAAACGAACAGTTACCAGTCACTTCGTCATTATTTCAAAAGCATCCAATGCCTATTTGGGACTTGGCATTACTCTAGGGTTCGAGTACAGCGATGAACAAGGAAGGACAATCACACCTTCCAAAGATGTATATTCTGATGAATCGCACAGCACAATGTGACCTCATACCCAGTCCAGGTGACCACACGCGTGCAACACTCAGTCTCTACGTCCTAACACAGCAAGGAGGCGCCGGGGCAGCGAGCCCAGGATCTGTTTTCACTGTTACTATTTTTAAGGTGTTCGCTGCTCAAAGACTTGCACACGGCATTGTGAGCCAGGATTTCCCTATCAGGTTTGTGGGTGAGGTCCCCGCACTGCCTTCTGTAACAAAGGCCATCTTCATGGAGGAAGACGACAGATCCAGAAAGAAACTGGCCACTCCCCCTCCACGAAGCGGCGTTACCTTTTAGGCATCTGAGAGTCTCTGTGCTGCACAGGTCCACCCTCATTGTCGACAGCTGTTTCTCCTTCAGCTCTATCTGATCCTCTGCGCGTTTGTACAGCAGCAGCTCTTCAATGAGGGCCTGAGACTGAACACACAGCACATTTCCCGTGTAAGACGATTCGCTATTCTACTCCTCCCCATTAGAAGGAAACATGCTGATACCTAACCAGTCCCAAGAGGACCAAACCCTTTGCATTTTTCACCATTAATGATACTGACATCGAAACTGTACATTTAGTTAATGTTCTACAAGATGCTTTTCCTTACTACTGGTAATTTATGACAGGGAGTTAAGGCTGATACAAAGATCCATTACAGCTTCTTTAAGTTTTATTGAAACAGGCCCTCCCTGGTGGCGCAGCGGGTTAAAGCACAGCACAAAGAAGCTAAAGCCACTTCCACATGAGTTTGATCCCCGCCTGCCCCGGAGGTGACCACAGGGCACGGCAGACCTCTCCTGGCCCGCCCACTGCTCCCCTCAGCAGTGTACTTCGTCGATCTGCCTGTTCTGCTCCCCACTCTGCCTCTGGTGAAGCCTCTCACCACCCCTGAGTCTCTCTCTGGCCTGTACCCCAGTTCTGTATGCACAAATAAATAAGTCTTAAAAAAAAAATTTATTGAAACAGTCTTACTATGCTGATTCCAAGAAAATTTTAGCTAACTAGAGCTTTACAGAAAGATGAACTCTTCACTGGGGTTCAAAATGGACTCTGCTTGTAATTAAACATATACTATTGACTTACACGAAATTCAGCCACTATCTTAGACTTGAGAGCAGCTTTTGGATTCGTGGATGCTGTTGGAATTAAACAAATGATTGTTAAAAATACAGAAACAGAACTGATTAATAACCAGATAAAACTTCAGTTCCACAGTTCAGTACTCTTTGAGCATATGCCAAACATGCACTTAAACGGCAATTCCTGGAACAGCATGGCATTTCAACACTCGCAAGTGTGGTCAGTATAAAAGTACACCATTTAGACAGGCCTTACCTACTTACCTCCCACAGGCCCTTTAAAGCCATAAAGTTCAAGAATTACGGATTTCGAGACAGTAAGAGACAGGAAACAGTCTGTGAGTAAGAGATCTCAGTCTTTGGGTGTAGGACATGCAGTCAACCTTGAGCTGAAGAAAATCACTGATGAACAGCAACCCTATGCCTATGTGCCCAGCTCTGGATTCCATTTTCTGCTGACTCGACTCACAGCAGAACAGAAAACTCCAGCACATCGCATGGTGGCTGAGCCGTGGCTGCAGACTCCTGCTGCCCAGAGTGCCCCGATCAGACCAAGTATCACACACTCCTGGGGCAAAACCAGCCGGAGTCCGGGTTCTGAGGGGAACCTTGCGCCCCATACCCATCTTCCTCAGCCCGGCCACGGGGTTGCCCCTGCAGCGCTCCCCAACCCCTACTCTGCAGACAAGGATGCAAGTGGCAGGAGCTCTCGAGGGAAGGAGCTTCTGGCCAGGTCACAAGGCCCATGTGTAAGTTGGGGGAGTACACCCCAAATCTGAAGGGGTCCCGATGCCCACAGAAATGCTTCTCAATGCCTGGTCTCCCCAACAGCGCTGCTGTTTGACAGCAGCTGCCTTTAACCTTACAGGTCTTTGCACCTGAGAATCAGTCTGACACTGTCAAGTATTTTTTCTTCTTTAATCCCCAACTAATCTTGAATCTTAACTCATTTAACCCTTTTTTCTGTACTCCCTTTGTTTAAAAGCAGTTTTTAGGTCACTGTTTTTTTAGATATTAACTCCACAATGGTGCATTTCACCTAAGTCCCAGGAGCCTCCCAGCCTGGCAAACCCAGGCCCCCCGCGGGCTACGCCATGTTATGTCATATGGTCAAAAAGTCCACATTTTCTCCTCCCCAAAAAGAGACGGCGATTTTATATTACATTAGTTGAGATTTTGTTCCTTACTTTGTGATTTCTTCCACTGCTTATTCGGTTGTTTGTTCAGATTTTCTTTCAGCTGCTTCTGTGACTTGAAAGTGGTACCTGGAAAACAGTTTAGTTTTGCGGCCTGGCATGACAGGAAGCCGCCGTCTGTGTGCTTCAGAGTCCAAGTTGTGGCACCAACAAACGCAACCCCAGACTCTGTGTTTCTTTTCTTTCATTTTATCAAAAAATAGAAATAGATACCAGATCTAGGAAGCTGTCAAAGAGATGCTTCTATAATGACAGTACTGATTTTGAGAAGGAGGCTGCCAATAACTGTTAAAAATTCAGATGGGGCTCTCCCTGGTGGCACAGCAGGTTAAAGCGCAGCACTATGAAGCTATCACAGCCACTGCAGCACGAGTTCAATCCCCAGCCAGGGAGGTGACACACTTGGCATGGCAGACCTCTCCTGACCACCTGCTGCTCCCCTCAGCAGTGTGCTTTGTCAATCTTCCTTCTGCTTCCTACTCTATCTCTGGTCAATCCTGTACCTCTGGCCTGTACCCCAGTTCTGTTTGCATAAATAAATCTTTAAAAAGAAACTCAAATGAAGAATTTAATAGCTTCTTAGAAGCAGGTATCTCTAAAGCAAATTTTTAGGCAAATGATGGTCTTGGTATCAGACATCACCAGCTTCCACTCATGACTGAGTTACATGCATCTGATACTTAGGAACTAGAGAACCTTTTAAGAGATAGACAACTTACTACACATCTAAACCAAGGGAGAGTCTGAAGAATGTTATACACTTAATACTAAACAGCTTAGTGAGTACTGACCCCTGGTCCAACAGCAAGTGGACAGGGCTGTAAACAGTAGTCGCAAACAATAAACAAGTTAAACCACTGACATCACCCTGGGCGCTGACCCTGCCCCCCGGGACTGGGTGCCGCCTACTTGACCTGGGTGGGCAGAGGGGCTGGTGGCTGGGGCCTCATTAATCATCAATCCCACCAATCACAGATCCCTGTGCCCGTCTCACCCAGGCACGAAGACGCAACCGTGGGTTGCACCTGAACAGAGCACGAGGGTGGGCACAGCCCCTGCAGAGGCCGGCAGTGGCGGCCTGGCCGAGCAGCACTGGGTCCCTGTCCACACACTGTCGAGGTGAAGGGACCCACCTCCCGATGACCTGGGTTTGCTGGCACAGAGCGTCTACTGCTTGGTGGGGGAGGTGGATGTGTGAGCAGCTGCCATTCTGGGCACGTGAGTGCCATTCTGGGGCACGTGAGTGCTAGTCGGACAGTCTCACTTGTCTTAAGTACTTTGTTGTATTTAAAGGATTTCACTAAAATGTTTTATTGCCAAAAAAACAAAAACAAACCAAAAAAAAAACAACAAAAAAACAAACCCACAATGCTCAAATGGAACGAGGGAAATTATCAGACGGCTCTCACCACTTCACGTGCGCGGTTCTCTCCGGGCCATGAAAACAACATACAGCCCTTCCTGAGCCAATTCAACCGTCACATTTAACTCAAGCGTATTTCTGTACGTAATCAATTTTCAAAAACGGGACCAGATCCCAAACGTTTTTCAACATTAAGAACAAAACAAGATTTCTCAAATATGATACATAAGACTGAAAATAGGACTGATTTTTCGTTTAGGAATGTACAGACACTTACTCAATGCTTCTCTTAACGCCATAATCATTTCTTCTGGATATACATTTCTATCTTCCCAGATTTTAAAAATTCGTTCTACAGACTTAGAGACAGATGGATCCCTAAAATGAAAAAGAGAGGTATGTCAATGTCAGCACATCTCAAATGAGAAATCTGATAATAAAGTCATCAGGAAAATTATTTTCCAAATGTATTCTGGTATTTTGTTTAAAAAATAAAAAATCCCAGCCCTCCCTGGTGGCGTAGCGGGCTAAAGCGCAGCACTGAGAAGCTAAAGCCACTTCCACATGAGTTCGATTCCCGCCTGCCCCGGAGGTGACCACAGGGCGCGGCAGACCTCTCCTGACCCGCCCACTGCTCCACTCAGCAGTGTACTTCATCGATCTGCCTGTTCTGCTCCCCACTCTGTCTCTGGTGAAGCCTCTCACCGCCCCTGAGACTCTGGCCTGTACCCCAGTTCTGTATGCACAAATAAATCTTTAAAAAAATAAATAAAATAAAAAATCCCTACCGTACCTAGGGCTAAAATCTTATCCTTATCTAGAGCTTTCTATGAAGGACCTCGTGAGGCTGTGATGACACACAGGACTTCCTCATGGATGTGACGGCATCCTCTGGGGTGCTCCTGGACTCGGCTGGCACCCCAGAGGATGCCCGGCTCTTGGGAGGGAGACCTAGTAAGAAGAACCTATTCTAAAGAAGTCTCCCCGCGCAGAGTGGGAAGAAAGGGCTTCAGGGAGGCAGGATTTGTTATCTTCAGGGTTTGGTTGAAAGCAACCATGAACCAATCACATGCCTGTCACAGGTGTTCCGGAAAGTCAATGTATGACGCTAAGCCGCGTCTGGGGGGCGGGAGGTGAGGAGCAGCACTTTCTCTGCTTGCCTCACAGAGTCAACGGCTGCAAGAACTAGAAAGCGATGCAGGGCGGGGAACTGTTACAAAGGAGAGAAATCTGGCCAGTTCTGTGACCAAGGCATGAAATTAAAGGGAAAGAATCTTCTTCTAACAGATCTGTACCAACTGAGACCTTCTAACATTCACAACTGATCCAAATTTACTTTACCAAAATAAACATTTAACTTGGGAGCAACATTATAAATATCTTTCCCTACAATGCACTTTGATTTTTAAGTTACATTAAGAATCAGAAGTTTTAAATGTAGCCGTGTTTAAGTAAAAAGCACTCTCTACTGCCACTTTTTAAGTGTAGAAAATCTCTCTGCCAGAGGTTTTATATTTTCTTTCTTTTAACAAGTGTTCATCTTTTCCATTTTTCTATTTTATTTTTAATTTTTTAAAAAGATTTATTTATTACACATACAGAACTGGGATACAGGCAAGAGGAACACGGGGGCGAGAGGCTTCCCCAGAGACAGTGTGGGCAGCAGAAGAGGCAGATTGACGACGGACACTGCTGAGGGAGCGGGATAACAGGAGAGGTCGCTGCGCCCCAGGGGCCACCTTCAGGGCCGGGAACTGAACTCGCGCTGAGGCTGCTATGGCTGCGGACAGCTTCACATGCTGCGCTTTACTCCGCTGCGCCATCAGTGAGGTCCCTATATTTTCTTTAAAGTCTCTTAACGACTAACATTTCTTCTACACTCAGTTGCATACTTCACTTAAAATCTACTGGGATACATTATGTAAAGTTGAAATCAATTTCCTATTATCACTCCAACATCCTAACTTCTCTTTTCTTCATCAATATTCTGTGCCTCTTCTATTGTGTATTTACAGTACTTTTCTAAGCTGCAAATTCTGTCCCATGCATCCATTTTTACTATATTATATTCTACATTATATACTATACTATGCATCCATTTATACTATATTATCTTCAAAGCTGTAGCTATCAACCTTGACTACAATTAAGAATTCAAGGACCACCCAGCCACTACAGCCTCCAAGGCCGGGGGGCGACCCACGCGGAGCGGCAGCCCTCTCCCGTCCCGCCCGCTGCTCCCCTTGGCAGTAGGCTTCCGTCCATCCGCCTGTTCTGCCCCCCACTCTGTCTCTCGTTAATTCTCTCACCCCTTGCACCTCTGGCCTGTACCCCAGTTCTTGTATGCATAAATAATCTTTTAAGTGTCAGCAGAGTTCTCACTAAACTGTACTGTATTTACATGCTAGTTTGTGTTTCTGACAGTTTATAATTTTCCCCATAAAGGACTTATATTTTTTATTCTAGGTTACTTTAGATAGCTTTTGTTATTACGGTTGATATTGTTTTTCTGTGATACTTTTAAGTGGTTATTTCTGATGTATTAACAAACACTGAATTGATGGAACTAAACTGAATTAAATATACTGAACTGAATTCTCTATGTCGATTTAACATTGCTAAAATAAAACCTCTGTTAACCAAGGGAAAGTATGTTGCTTTAAATTCCCGTACTATTCCACTGCTTATATCTTATAGTTCTTCAACAACTAGACAAGAGAATGTACAAACTACAATATAAGGTCAATATTCGCATTAACATTAATATAGTGATGAAAGATACTTTGAACAAATTAAAAATTTCACTGTCAACATGGTTTTGAATATATACATTGTTGTAGCATCAAACTTATACCGCTGGATAATGATTTCATCATTTGAATTACTGTGAAAGTCTTTCCTCATAGTGTATGAGGAAATAATTACTGCCTTTATCATATGCAACAATCATATACATACCAATGTCATCTTTAATATTTTCTCATGTAAGTCCTGTCCTGCCAAAATGTAACCCCAAGCACACTAGCATAGCCACTGAGCGTGAGCTAGAGAACGGCTACAAGGTACTCCCACGACGGTCACTCAACACTACTTCCAACTGACTTTAAATTAACATCGCACAAATCTTCTTTTTCTCACTGGTAGGTCTTTTGACCATTTAAACTGTAACCATGGCTTGTCCGACAGTCCGTACTGAGAAACTGTGTCTACCGGGTCACGCCCTCCTCGGCAGGTCACGCCCTCCTTGGCAGGCCTCGCCCACTAGCCTTTCTGATCACGGAAGCCGTGCCAGGCTCTAAGTGCGGGAGGTGGGCAGTGGTGCCAGGAAGCATTTGGGTCACCCACGAGGCAGTGATTCAGGGCTATGACAGAGAGGCAGGTCAGTGAAGCCAGGCAGTCAGGAAGGGGCAGCCTCCGAGGCGCCTGCTCTGTGGGAGGTGGAGGGTGGAGGGAAAGGCGGGAGAGCTGACCTCCCTGAGAACGCTCCGTGGCGCCCCAGCGTGTGCGCAACTGTTCTCGTGGGCTGCTGACTCAGCTTTCTAAAGGAACCAACTTCTTCAGTTCATTTATTCAACATTATAATTTTGAAACCCACTTGTAGTCCCAGAAAGTCTTTTTGTGTTCTACTGTAATCTCTTTTAAGCAATGACATTTTGAAACTGTGAGGTAAACATGACAGGAATTGCATAAAACATTCAAGAGTAATCTAGAAGTGAACGTCCGGGTAAGCACAATCCAGGTTAATTTCCTTTCGTCTTACTACCTGGGCATACATAATGACAGTCCATCTTTGTCGGGTCTGAACTTACATGAACGGAATCATGGCGCATCAATACTCCTCAGCTTCTCACTCAAATCTGAGTGATGCATCTGCTACGGCCACTAACTGCAGGGCACTAGTGTGGTGGCTGTTTCATACTCCAGCCGGTCGTTCACCCGTTTTACTGCGCCAGAACCAGGCTGCCGTCACAGCTTTGTCACCACGAACAAGCAGAGCTGCCAGAGAAGCTTCTTCCACTGCCCTTGCTGTGTACACACAAGCGTCTCTCACCGCGAAAGCCTCGCGGGCCACGGGGCCACTGGGGCCGTGTCGCAAGCCGTTTGACACCAATCCCGTCTGCATCCAGAAGCGCAGAGAACCCCACAGGGCCACACCTGGCTTCCGCTGCCCTTGGCCGGCTTCACCATGATGCCTCGCAGAGCTGCCCGCCCTTACTGATTCAGCGCCTTTTTGTGACCCTGGAGCCGGAGAGCAAGCGGTCTTCACTCCCCTTGGTTCAGTGCTAGACTCTATCACAGAGGGCCCTTAGGGACACCGAGGGGCAGACAGCGGTGGCAGGACGGCCTCTAACAGGCCACAAGCAGGTGTCGGCGGAGGGTCGAGATCAGCGCGGCCTGCTCTGCAGCTCGGCCGTGACTGTCAGGAAGGAGACCCCGCGAGCGTGGCAGGCGGCAGGTTCTTGCGGGAGCCCTCTTCCCTGGGTCTGCATCTCAAGTGGGAGTGGAGGGGCAGGGGAGGGTCCACTTACTTCTCTAAGGGCAGGGCAGTAAGTAGCTGCAAGGACAAACCTGCACTCCCACTGAGAGAGAACCCGCACCCCAGTAATTTTAACAGAAAGAATTGTTAAGGAGGTAGAATAAGAGAGCGCCAAGAGGTGCCGAGGTAGACAGTGCCTGCTGAGAGCAGCTTCAGCAGCTACTACCTGGTTTTCTTTGGCTACATCTGAGGCCATATACTGACCGCCTTAATTTATTCTAGCGTGGTAAGTCTTCAAATCTGACAGAGCCAGTCACCACCACCTTGTTATCCTTCAAGAGTTTCTAGGCTTTCCTTTTTTGGAAGAGGAGGGGAAGCTCTCTAAACATCAGTATAAATTTTAGTTTTATAATTTTCTCCACAGAGACCTTACACCTCTCTATTAAGATGTTTAGGACTTTGGGCCCTCCCTGGTGGTGCAACCGTGTTGAAGTGCACTACGAAGCTGGCCGCAGCCCTTCACCACGTTTGATCCCCGGCCAGGGAGGGACCCCCAGGGCGCAGCAGACCTCTCCGTCTCCCCGCTGCCCCCCTCAGCAGTGGACTTCACGCATCTGCCTGTTTTGCTCCCGCTCTGTCTCTGGTGAATCCTCTCACCACCCCTGCACCTCTGGCCCATACCCCAGTTCTGCAAGCACAAATAAATCAATCTTTGGGGAAAAAGGTTTTAGGACTTCCTAACTTGAGCCAGCACCTGAGTCCTGCAGTCACCGTGACAGGCAGAGTGCTGAGTCGCGGGTGGCCTCGCGCCCGGCCGGGATAAAGCAACGCGCTGCCTGCTCGAAACCAGCGGCTCCCATAGTTTATTTAAGGCCTCGTTTCTTTACATGTTTGTTTTGGCTGCTGACGATTCTGCTGTTTAAAATGGCCCCCAGGTGTTGTGCCAAGCTTCTGTCTAGTGCTCTTAACCCAAAGAGGCTGGGACGCGCCCTCCAGAGAAAACACGCCCTGGGCGGACGCTGAACAGTGGCAACACCCGCGTCACACAGTGTCCGCACGCAGACGTGGTCTGCAGACTGGCCGGTGCAAGGACACGCCGTGACCAGGCCCACGGGAACCTCCCCTCCCCGCCAAAAGCGATGTTCCCCTATTTGCTAGTTCAGTGCTCTGGGCACTGAATCCGTCATGAATAATACTATGAATAATACGCAGCAGCTACATTTCTTTATTTCCATTACAAAGAATTTAAATGTTTCTCATTTTCTTGTTTCTAGCAAAAATTAGTTTCACTGTACTGACCTGAATCCTCTGGCCTTGCTCAACTTTCTCAAGCACAGGTGCCTTGGGCCGTCCACGTGTGTGCTCACACCTGCAAAGAGGCTCAGCCCCCCGCTGCCTCCCAGTGGCGCCCGCCTCGCCCTCAATGCCACGGCTACTGCAGGGTCTCCTGTGGGACACGTGTTCCCAGAAGGGAGACGAGCCTTTCTGTGGCCCACTTGTCTGACAAAGAATGAATTTTTCTGCATGTTTCCCTCCTAGCCAGCAGGCAGAGCACCGCCACGCCCCCAGCTGCGTCCCCCGCGCCCAGGGAGGTGCTGCTGCTGTTTATGAGCACGAAGGATCTGCTCGTGGTTTTCTTGCCCCATTCTCTCTGGGCCGAGGTATGGAGACAAAGTCACGCCAGCCTCCTGACGGGGAGCTGAGCAGCAGGCGCTCTTTTCTCGGAATGTGTGCAAGGCTGGAATTATTTAATCTGATTGGGAATCCAGGACAGGGAATTTCGTTTTTCTCATTAAACTTTGCTTTGATGGGTCTCAAATTCTTTTTTTTTAAAGACTTATTTTTATTCATTTATGCATACAAGAACACTGGGGTGCAGGCCAGAGGTGGGGGGGGTGAGAGGACTCCCCAGAGACAGTGGGGAGCAGAACAGGCGGATCCACCTGACACCCACTGCTGGGGGACAGCGGGGAGACAGGAGGGGCTGCTGTGTCCTGGGTCGCTCCCCAGCCGGGTGGAACCCAGGAAGCAGCAGTGATAGCGCTGGCAGTGCTGAGACTTAGCCCTGTGTGATCAGGGAGACCGGGCTCACTAGCTTTTGCAGCACCTCTCCATCCCTGACACTTGTGTCAGTTTGCACGATCTCCACGACAACCCTGGGTACAAACCGTACTATGAGTCTCGTGTTATAGTACAAAAAACTGAAGAACTGGAAAATGAAATAGCTAATCTAACAAGTGGCAGGTGCAGGATTTGAGTACCACGACTTGATGTACGGTTTCCACTCTCATTGTCTAAGTTCTGCTGATTCCCAAGCAAGAGAAATAATCCAGAAAGGAACCTCGGAAGCATTCGCTACTAAGACACACGAGCAGAACGACGCGACTGAGCGCGGGTGACGGCGTGGGAAGGAGGCCGACGCGCCGCCCGCCCGGCCCCTGGCTCAGCCCTCCGGTCTACCTGGGGATGTTTCTGGATCGCGTATTTTCTTGAGTATCTTCATTTCCAGAATGAAAATAATCCTTGCCCCATTTACACTGGATAATTGGCTTGAGAATCAAAGAAAATGGCAACGACGGAAAGGGGTCTGTTACTAAAGAAGCAGAACCGTGTATTTCAGACGACACCTGAGTGGCGTCTGCTGTCACGCCCCGGCAGTGACACTCAGTGCCTGCGCGATGCGGCCGCTGCTCCAAGCTCACCCTATATATTTATTACTAGCTCACCCGATCCCGTACTGTGGGCTTGGTGCTGTTGTCGGCTCTACCGCACGGAAAAGAAAACGAGGGTCAATTTAAACGGTCTGCAGTTACAAGGCAAAGAGGAGGCGGAACTGGACTCAGTCAATGGTCCTGCACCTTTATGTCTGCGGACGTCAGTGTCTGCACCTGAGGCCAGTGAGCAGGAGACGCCAAACGGAAAGCCAGTTAGCGCTGTCACAGCAAACTGATACCCGAGTAAAGCTGATGATGGGAGACAAAAAGGCAGGGAGGGAAACAGCAGGAGACGCACATTCCTGTAAGTGACCACCTGTAAGTGACCACGAAATGGTGAGACACGGGTTGAAAATTACTGACAGAAGGTGAAAACTTCAGCAGGCCATGAGCTTCATACAGGACCAGCATCAGCACAAAGCCCAGCTCTCTCACTAACGCAACTGTCATTTACTTTGGGCAATAGCTTGACTGCTCCGGGCTTCAGTGTTCTTGTGTTGTAAGAAAGAACAATAAAATCCAATCTGCTTACCAGCAAAATGGGTATTGTGACTTTCAAGTATTACTTGTATGATAATTATCAGTTCACAGCACTTTCACACCAACTGCACAGTAGGGCTTGGTAGAAGGTAAGGCGCACTGTACTGCTTTAAACACTGTGAACTAAGTGTCACCCTATGCCAGACCGGTGAAGCGTCAGGTCACAAGCTATAGGATGGAGAGACAGCAGATATCTGCAGAAGCTGAATGCCACACCAGATGCACCTCTGAGACACAGACTACAAAGACCAAGGAAAGGTGGGTCTGGCCTCCCTGGGGGCGCAGGGGTTAACGCGCAGCACCAGGGAATTGTCCGCAGCGCTGCAGCACCCCGGCCAGGGTGGTGACCACCTAGCGGGGCAGACCCTCCTGCCTCGCCCGCGGCCCCCTCAGCGGTGTGTTTCAGTCCATCTGCCTGTTCTGCTCCCTCTCACCCCCCACACCTCTGGCCTGTACCCCAATTCTGTATGCATAAGTAAATCTTAAAGAAAAAAAAAAAGAGTGGGCCTAGCAGTTATGTCCGAAAGTCTGAGAAACACTAAAATCCAGATTCTCAAGTGGCCTGAAGCTTCACGTTCTTCTCTGAGGCAACAACTACCCGGGAGGCCACTGGAACCTTCTCACCTCACCTCAGAGCGCCAAATCCCTGAACTCCACCAGGATGTCTTTTGCCAACAAAGCTCCTGAGTACAATTCTCTCAGCACCCGCAGGTCCTAAAAAGCAGGAAGAACTGACTTACTTCACCAGAGCAGCCGCCTCAGGAAGCACGTCGGCAAACGACTCGCGGAATATGAGCGCGTTTTTCCTCTTGCAGTTCTGGATGACGTCGTTGGCAAGGTAGAAGAGGTTCAGGCGGTGGGGATAGGCAGCTGGATAATCAAAAGACACAAACAAAGCCCAATCAGTCAACTTATACTGCAGTCAACTTACGGCAAAGACGATGCTGTCAGGCCTCCCTGGCGGCGTCGGGCTAGAGGCGGCGCTACGAAGCTACCTGTGGCCGCTGCAGCGCGAGTCGGACCCCCAGCCAGAGGGCGGCCTCTCCTGTCTCCCCGCTGCTCCCCTCAGCAGCTGATCCACTGCTCTGCTCCCCACTCTGTCTCTGGTGAATCTTCTTAACCCCTGCACCTCTGGCCTGTACCCCAGTTCTTATATTCACAAATAAGTAAATAAATCTTACTTATTTGTGAATAAGTAAGATGTTGTCAAATGATATAGCTGCTATTGCACGGACGGGGACGAAACAAAGGGGCCGATTCACTGAAGCCAGAGCCTAGGAAGTTTGACTCCTTAAGGTTAAATTTCTGTTCTAAGGACTCACTTTGTACATGTCTTACATGAAAATCTCCGAACAAACTAAGCTTGTAAACTCAGCTTATTATGGAGACGTCGTGGTTAACAGAGAGCAGATTTGGAGTCCAGCCAGAATGTGACCCAAAGCCGCTGGCTGAGCTTCCCATCACTCTTGCAAGCGCTCTCGCAAGCGGCCGGTCATCACGGAGACACACTGAAGTCCTCCCACCTGCTGCCAAGAGCAGGCTCGTGGCTCTTTCATCGCGAGCTGAATGTCTTCGCAAGTGTATCATTTGCTGCAAGAACGCACAGAGGTCCACCTTTTTTTCAACGACAAAGCCCAATCAACTTACTGGCCGCACCAGTAAGAGTTACCGCACCCCAAGCTCGACAAGCTTTATGCCATCTAGATGATGAATCACATTTTCCAGTCTCATTTTCTTGATCTCGAATTCCGTAACCTTCCCTCCTTGGCACATTGTAAAATCCCCTCCTCTGAACACAACCTCTCACGCCCATTAATGTGCTCTTCAACTTCATCCAGGTCTCGGTTCATTATTTTCTCTACCTCTACAATCTCTTCCAGCACTTAAGTTCTTTCTTTAACAATACCAGTCGTTGACCATGGTTTAAGCCATTCCTTTAGCAAAAATGTCCTTTTCTTCCCCAATGCCCCCCCTCAATTTAGTCTTTGTTAACACATGTATCCAACAAAACCCAAAAGTTGGATCAATCTAACTAAAGGTCTCTTTGTCTGTATTGCTGTTCCTGGCTTCTAGTGAAGAAAAATCACATCACCTCACCAGGAGGATGGAAACCACAGAAATTCCACCCCTCGCCAGCAAACGTTTAAAGCCAGTCCTTCTGTGAGATCTGAGTCAGCGGACTCCGTCCTTTGCACTGACAACTGCACACCAGCCCACCCCACCACCCTCCTGCAGGTCAGGGGCGCCCGTGCTGCACCCCAGGGAGTGCAGGGTCACTCGGCGCGCTACGAGGTCACCAAGAACGTTCTAGGACTTAAACCCAGCCTGAGCAACTGCCCAAGGCAGTCACGACCGTGCGGACTCGGGATCTGAGAGTTGGACTCCACGCGGTGTCCAGCTCAGCACCTACTCAGTCCGTCACTGCAGGAGCTGCCTTTCCTATCTGCGCGTACAATATGCTAAGAGCTCCCGATAACTATGCTACCTCAACTGTAGGGCCACTGCACCACTCACACAGCAATTACAAGCTTATGAATAAATCCCAACTTTTAAATCAAAAGTTTTTCTTAAAAAAAAATGTTATTTCTTGGGCCCTCCCTGGTGGTGCAACAGCTCAGGCGCAGCACTGCAAGCCAGCTGCAGCCGCTTCAGCGTGAGTTCAATCCCCGCCCCGGAGTGACCCCCAGGGCGCAGCACACCTCTCCGGTCTCCCCGCTGTGCTTTGACAGTCGACAGTCGGCCTGCTCTGCTCCCCACCCTGTCTCTGGTGAGTCCTCTCACCGCCCCTGCACCTCTGGCCTGTACCCCAGTTCTGTCTGCATAAATAAATCATTTAGAAAAACAAAACTAGTAAAACAACAAAGTAGCCATCAGATGAATTCAGAAGGTGAGATTCTTCAGGAAAACAGATTCAATCAATTCACCTTATCAGTGGTGAAATCTCAACTAGAGAGATTATAAGCCCCAAGGACAGAGCAATTTACCTGATTTTCCGTGGGGGGGGGAGGGTGGGTAACGGGTTTGAACTACCAGTTCCAAGTACAATGGAAATGAAGAAATCATTAACGGAATAAAATACCGCAAACACAGAGCGATCTCATGTAGGAAAAACCTGTAGAAGCGCTCAGAAAGGACAGCGACGGCCCGCTTCTAATTTTCTAGACGCACGCTCCCTGACTCCATAGTGGAGTATTGAAGAAATGCAGTCGCTGCCTCCGGTTTAGCTGCTTGTTTTCAAGCTCCTCACCTCTCAGCCTGACGGCCCTGCCGCAGAATCGGCTGCCCGCTGGCCGCCAACCCTCCCCCCCAGGCGGCCTGCTCCTTTTCCGGTGAAAAAGCAGGAGCCGTCCTCACCTCCTGTCTCTCGCCCTCCGCATGCAGACGCGCCAGGCGGAGCGCGTCCGGTGCTGCCTTTGAAAGATGCAGCTGTGGAACCGGGCGGCCAGAAGAAACCCTCAGTGCCGTGGAAACTGGAGTCACGGCTCGGTCACAGGAGCACACACCGAGGGAGAGACAGAGCACTTGCCACTGCTCCCCAAATGTCTCTGCGACAGGGCCTGGAACAGCGACCTTCCCATACCTAATAGCTAGACCACGGCTTCTCACAGGGTCCAGGGTTCCTGGAGGAACGGAGGCTTGCGGGCCAGGAGAGAAAGTACTAGAAGAGTCTGAAACATCTTGGAGCAGAAAGTAAAAAGTGATCAAGATGGCTATCAAGTGACCTCCCACTGTCCGGCTCGAGGGCACGGACAAGTGACAGGATGAAACAAGCACCTGCAGAGGACTGCGACCCCCGAATACAACAGGAGCCCCGCGAGGGCAGGAAGTAAGTAATGAAGCAAACGTGGGAAGGAGCACAGCCCCGCCTCGTCCTGGAGCCAGGACGGCGGCAGGGGACGGGAACGAGCAGCAGCATCAGGCCGGGGCAGCAGAACCTGACTTGGAACAACGCCTGGGTGAGTGCTACCGAGGCCGCCTGAACACGCAGCGCGGGACAGGCACTGTCTCGAGTCACCTTCCCTCACGCCCCGCCACCACCACCTTGGCCAGACCTTCCCCTTCTGGGCAGAGCGCTGGTCTGTGACATTTATGCTCAAAGCTGTGTAACCCAAGCCCAGTGACAGGGGAACATGAAACAAACACAAACCTTGGCCACGGGACAAGTTCCTGGTCCGCAGTCGTTCATTCTCTTGAACCTTTTTCCACCCTGTGGCGCCCTCGGACGCTTCCCCGGGCAGCGCAAGTTTCTTGGAACGGTGTCCTCCTCTCACTCTCGCTTTGAAATGCTCTAGGTGGGCCCAGCTATACGCCCCCCACCAAGGGCCCCTGGCTGGGCAGACCCACCGCCCACACCTGCGGCGGGTAGGACACGGCTATTCCTAGTCTCCTCGTCCTCAGCACGCCGTGGGCTCAGGCTGAAGGCAGTCGCCGCTGACTGCAACACATAATCCTGGGTTCCACACCACACCAGGGAGTGCGGGCACAGGGGCACTGTATCAGTGCTGTGTCACAACTGTTGCAATGGCTTGCAGCTTGTCTCCTCAAAACTCTAAGCAGGAGCCCCAACTGCCAAGGTGACCTCACTGGGGACAGTTATACACAGCAGGTCCTTGCAGTAACACCGGTCTTCCCTGGTGGCGCAGTGGTTAAGGCACAGCACTGAGAAACATCTGCAGCGGCTGCAGCATGTGCTCGACCCCTGGCTAGTGAGCTGACCCACAGGGCGCGGGAGATGCCCTCCTGTCTCCCTGCTGCCCCCTCAGCAGTGTATTTCGGTAGATCCTCCTGTTCTGCTCCCCACTGTCTCTAGTGAATCCTCTCAGCCCCCGAGCCCGGGGGCGGGGGGGATATGAGCAAAACCAGGCAGGATTAACACACTCGAAAGTGAGACTTGGATTTACCCAAATTGAAAAAAAAAAAAAGAAGATTCATGTAAAAGAACGAGGCAGCAAGAAGAGAAGGTCGCCACCTCTGGACCCTTGGTCAGCGGGGCTCTTCTTCAGCTCAGGGAGGTTCACAGTGTTTTCTAAAACATGAGGGTCAAGTAAAAGTTATTCAAGCAAAGGACGTTAGAGGGAGTGAGGTAGACCGCAGCTGGATGGGCGTGTGGGGGAGACGCAGCTATTCACGACACGCACCACTTTCACACCCCCAAGAAATGCCACAAGTTCTTTCAATCAGTTGAATGAAACCGTCACCCCGAAACACAGGTTTCAAGGACGTTCAGGAATGTTAGAATGTAAACCAGAAACCACACCTCAGAATTGCTGGAACACACCTCGCGCTCACGCCCGCCCCACCGCCTCACCGCTCGCGAACTCAGCCACCCCTGGCCCTGGCCTCGCCCCCAGCCGCACCTGCCGCAAAGCACGGGGAGCTTCCTTCAAAGGGCCCTGCTCTAGGCGCACAGGTCGGTGTTTAAAGACAGTCTTTGCAGGACAAAAAAGAGGTAAACTCAGGCCACTGGCAGCAACGGGATGGAGCGGAGGGGCTGATGCTCTGGAGTACGCCAGGAGCAGAAAGACAAAACCCGGCGGTTTCACTTACAAGAGGAATAGAGGAAACAGAAGTGTGTCAAGGAAAAAGGCAATTAGCAAGCAAAATACAGATGTGAGACAGGGGAGTGGTAGTGAGGGGTCAAAACAGGAGAGGGAGGAGCATAAGAGAATGTGGTGAGAGCCCATGGGTGTCGTGCTGGTGGGAGATTTACAGGGGCTACATCCGAGGGGAGACATTAGCTACTGTACAAAAATGAACAACAGTGTAAGAAAATAAAAAAGTCGGGCCCTCCCTGGTGGCGCAACGGGTTAAAGCTGCACTGGGGAGCTGTCTGCAGCCGCTGCGGCTGGAGTTCCACCCCGGTCAGGCAG